ATTATACCAGTCTTTAATAATTACAATCAGCATGCAGGCCTAATTCGGACTTCTTATCTGAAAATATGTAATAAATCAGCCACCCCCTTTACATAAGTTTAATTAAAGACCTAACCAGTACTTGTAAGTCATGCTAAACAATTTCTGCTTTGAATGAGGAGGCATATTTGAGCCTTATCTGCTATGTGTTTTCCCCTTAACTGCTCTTATGTGTTTTGTTTGTCACACTAGATTTTTTCCTTTTTAAATTTCAAAAGCCAATATCCCTTCACTCTAGGATTAGTAGTCCCAACTACCTCCGGGACTGATAGGATCGGGGCGGGTAGTAGCATGCAATAAGTAATGAGACCATTCTGCGCTTTAGTACCTTAACGGGGTGGGTAAGAGTAGACATGGATATGATGATCACGCGATAACACCACGTGTATAATTGGTTATCGGGTGTTGCGTGGGTGATCCATGTTATTTATAAGCCTAGGACCCCCTCCCTCTTTATGTGTCTACTTCTTTCTTTCAGAATTTTTAAAATTGTCAGTTTTCAGTTCTTTTAAACCTCGTCCTTTGCTTTAATCATTTAAAAATCTCTTTAAATTTCTAGCACTGTTTTTCTCTCCCAAATTTCCGCCTCATTTCATCCCTTTGTTTGATTATTTGTATCAATTATTTGACCCCTCATTTTTCTGCACTTGTATATTCTTTAAATAAATTATGTAATTGCCTAGTCCCAAATTTCAGCTCGTTTATTTAACTTTTATACTTCCCCTAATTGCAATCGTTACGTGAGAATTGTCTTGTATGTTTATTTGTTGTTTGTATTTAAAGTCACAATTATAGCATGGCCGAGAACCACACTAGTGGATCTTGGGGGGTGCCTAACACCTTCCCCCCGAGATAATTTCAAGCCCTTACCCATTCTCTGGTTCTTCTTCTTTTCATTTCCAGCTTAGTGTCCTAATGTACTTAATCATTAGATGGCGACTCTTCTAAATCTCAAACCCAATTCCCAAAAGGAAAAGAGTTGTCCGCCCAAATATCATAAACCCGATTTCGCCTTTAGAAAAAGGGGGCATCGACACAACTTTTACAAAGCAGCAAAGAGGAACTAGGTTCTTGACAAACGCTTAAAGAGGAAGAATAATGCTGACAACGTTGTAAAGCAAGCTCTAGCTGCATGGGTAGACTCCTCCAGCGAATCTGAAGAAGAAGACGACCATGGTGGCAGTTCAATGATGGCAGTGGAAAATGAAACAACTGAGTATGATTCAATCTTTGCTCTAATGGCTCAATCTGATGACGATGAAGATGACGACGGTGATGAGGTAAGCTTTTTGGAAGTTCAGAGCAATCTAAAATCTTACTCTCCTAAAAGGCTCATGTCATTAGCAAATGTGTTAATTGATGCTTCCATAGTCTTATCAATGATAAAGATGCTTTAACTATGGAACTAGGGGAAGCTGAACAAACCAGAGATGACTTAGTAGTCGTTGTAATTGATTTGAAAGAACAATAGAGAACCTGAAAAGAGAAAAGAATGCCTTAGAAGAGAAAATTGCTAGTATAGAACATGAACGACATGATTTAATGGTGGTTGTGGTGGACTTAAAAGAAACCATTGAGTGTGCAAGTAAAGAAAAAGAAACCTTTACTGAGAGAGTTGCTATCATTGAGCAAGAAAGAGATGACTTAGTAGTGGTGGTAGTAGACTTGAAAGAAACAATTGAGGATTTCAAAACTGCTAATAGGCCCGAAAACTCTCAAAAGGGAAAGGAAGTTGCAAGTGAAGCACACATTAAGCTTGAAAATGAGTTAAACTTGGTAAAGACTAGTCTGTGTGCTGAACTTGAGAAAAATAAACAGCTTCAGGAAGAACTAGGGAAAGTGACGAGTGACCTTGAGAAATCTCTTAAGTGGACCTGGTCCTCGGATGCTATCACTGCCATGTACACCAACTCTGGGGGAAACAGGCAGGGGATTGGGTTTCAAAGGGAAAAGATTCCCTACAACCCTCACAGCGAGTATGTTACTGTACCCGACAATTGGCTATGTACCCACTATGGCAACAATGGGCACCTCAAGGAAAATTGTATGGCTAGGGTTCAGTCTCATCAGAGAAACAAAGTATTTGCTGAGAGAGCAACTACTGCAAGAGGACCTGGTCCATCAAATAAGAAGCCATCAAATAGGAAACGCATTTTGCCTGCTTGGACTAAGAGAGCACTCATTCATCCTTTTTCTCTTAACAAGTGACCCAAACTTATTTGGGTTCCTAAATATAACCCTTGATCTCCGTGTGCAAGGAGTAGTGAAGGAAATCAGCCAATAATGACACATGAACAGTGGCTGCTCAAAGGACAGGACTGGAAATACAATCAATCTTCCTTCACTAAAAAGCCCTGCAAGGAGAGAGTGTACCCTTTTAGAATGGTTAAAAAGGGGGTATGCTCTAGGAGTTGGAAAATTTGTGTCAAAGGAAGTAAGGTGGAATGCTTGTCCAGGATATTCACAATCTCAAATCCTATGACTGGTGAGGTGTTGTTGTAGCCAAAAGACACAAGTGTACGTATGTTGCTGTGATTGAGCTTCTGCAGAGTGGAGACATAAGTTGGTTGGAAGCTGTTGAAAACAATACTGAATCATGGGACGAAGGTCTGGAGCATTGCACGTTGTCTATCTCTAAATAAACTGGATTTGAAGAACCTGGTTTGTGGTCTGATCAAGCTGAGTAATAAGTATCATGAAGTGTGCACTGCCTGTGCAAAAGAAAAACATGTCAGATCTTCATTCAAGCCCAAAAAGAGGAAGATATCACTTCAGAACCAAGGATGGGATCTTTCAAGAAACCGTGGTTCTTGTCAAGAAGATCTAGGTACCAATAGAAACAAACGTAGCTTGCATCAGACTTAATCATGGAGCAGGTTTGGACAATGCCATAAGTGGATGAATGTTATGTTGAAAGAAGAACTTCTCAACCACTTAGCTCAAAGAACACCACCTCAGATAGAGTTGTTGAAAAGAAGAAAAGGACTCTTGAAAATTTGGGCACGGTCAATATTAATTGATGAAAGGCTAGCAAACATCTTGACCAAAGCTGCTGACTCAAGTGAGGATATATGGGTATAACTGTCATGTTCTCAACAATGGGAAGGGTCAGCCTTGAAAATCTGATGGTAGAAGAGATAGAGGAATCCTCCTGACATACTCATCCCAAAAGAGAACAGAAATACTGATCAAGGTACAGAACGCTCATTGATTCCAGCTAGGAACCAGGTCCCGCATCTACAACAACAGAAGCTGAAAAACAAGCTATTGGAAAGAGGCTTTTGCATAGAGACATCACTGAATCACTCATGTATCTCACTGCAAGTAGACTAGACATTGTGGTCAGAGTTGAGTTTTGTGCAAGGTCTCAGTCATATCCAAGGTATTCTCATCTGAAGGATGGTGTAAGTATCTTGAGGTATCCTAGTAGAACACAGAACTTGGTTCTCTATTGTCCTCCAAGTAAATGGATAGGATAAGCTTGCCTGAAGTGGGACAGTCTCTGAGTTCCTATCTTGTCTCATAAGGCTCAAGGAATCATAATTCAAGGGCACTCTCAACAACTGAAGCAGAATATGTATAATCAACATCCTACTGTGGTCAAGTACTATGGACCAAGCAACAAAGTGCTATGGACCAAGCAACAAATTGGAAGAACCTAAGTCCAACTCAAGAGGGCCAAATACAGTGATTGCTGAAGATCAAGTTGCAGACATCTTCACCAAAAGCCCTGGGAAGAAAGCATTCTAAGAAAGATCACCTTGCACTGGGATGATGAAACACAACCGAGAACCTGGTTCCTCATTATTGGTTATGAAAGTCATAGTCAGGTAAAAGCTAGCTAAAGTGTTTTCTGGCTAAGTATAACTCACCTCTATACCGTTACAGTTAGACACGCATGATGACTACAGAAGTAGATGTTGTAGTGCATGATAAATAAGGGGATAAAACTCACTTACCAGACCTATCAAGGAACTTAGTTCTGTAAGGCAAGTTAGCAGTTTCTTTGTTCTTTCATACACAATTTAAAATGAACAAAAAATAATGCCACATCATCATCAGCATGACAGTCTCTTTAAAATCGTGTATCTTCATCCAATATGTCACAGCCCAAACGTCACTCCTTTTACTAAACGATACATCTCCCAAGCAAAAGTGTGCCGCCATTTCAGAACGGGTCCCTCATCATAATTAAATCAACATCACAACCCTTTCTCTTCCGAACTCTAAATTCCATATTTGTCTTCTCTCTTCTCAAATCCACAGTTCCTCGAGAATAATCTCATCATGTCTGAAAATCAAGCAACCATTAGTATGCTTGATAACACTGTGATTGCGTCCTCACCAGTGAGAAGTTCAGTGGTGAACCTCTCTCCAAACCCTAAAGAAGAGTCTCCTCCACACTCCACTCCCTTTCCTACCCTCTCCGAGTCTACTCCTCCTCTAAGAAAGTCTAAAGATGTCCGTCCTCCTCCAGTCTCACCAGTCAAACAGAGTCAACAGGGTGAACAAGGGAACCTCGTTCAGGAACCTTATACTCTATCCATGGCTGAGCACTTGAGTAAATAATGGGTGACTAGTCATGAAGAGACTGAGATCTCCTAGAAAATTGATGACTCTGAAGGCATCACTCCTTCGTCTGTTGAAATCGCCATGGAACCACAAGAAAAGGAGGAAATAGAGAATACGTTGTCCATTGTGTCGGAAGGGGTCATTATAGAAAAATGTGCAGGAGGGTCTGAGCCACAGGGGGGAAGTAACAAAAGAAGAGGGAGCAATTGTGCCATTTGAACAGCCGGCACAAGATGATGCTACTGGGGCCCCAAATAATGAACCTGATCCCTCCATGGAGAATCCAGGTCAGGAGTCATCCTCCTAGGTCAGTGTTGATCCCTCCATGGATAGGGGATCCCTTTGTCTAAGCCCATTCCTGGCCTCAAATGGTTGAGTTGGTGAACCATTTAAGAAGATGGTGTAGGTAACACTTGTACACACGTCATTATCCATTTCACAAATTTCTCTGGAAATGCTAAGGCATACAATACTTGTTCAAGAAAAGGCCACTCAAGTGAATCATATGCCTTCTGCATGTCCAGTTTCATCATGCAATTTGGTGACACCCCTTTCCTTCCATACCCTTTTACTAGCTCATGACTTAGTATGGTATTATTAATAATAACTCTTCCAGGAACAAAAGCAGATTGAGTCTTATCTATTAAATCATCCATGACTCCTTGTAGTCGACTAGTCAGAACCTTTGAAATGATTTTGTATATTGTAGTGCAGCAGGAAATATGTCTATACTCCTTTATGGTAGCTGGGTTTTTGACTTTGGGTATAAGAATTATTGATGTACAGTTAACTGGTTTGAACATCTGTGATGATTAAAAGAAATCCAGTATAGCTTGTGTTACCTTCTCCCCTATGATATTCCATGATTTCTTGAAGAATACTGCATTGATTCCATCATATCCTAGGGCCTTCAAGTCATCTATATCTTGCAGAGCTTTCCATACCTCTTGCCTTGTGATAGGTAGTATCAATTGAAGTTTTTGTTCTCTTTTGAGCAGTGTCCCTCTTTGCATGACATTCGGATCTATTGCTGGGATTGTAGGAGCATTTGACCCTAGAAACTGTTTATAGTAGCCAAGTACTTCAGCCTCTATTTCCTCCTCCATGTGTACCTGAACCCCTAGATCAGTAGTGTGAGCATGGATTCCATTTAAAGTGTTCATGTTCTTCATATGTGCAAAGAAATATGCAGAATTTAGAATCTCTCAGCTTCAGCCGTTGCACCCTTGACCTTTGCCTATAGATGCTTTCTTCAATTTGTATCCACTTCTCAAGATTACTTTTCAGTTCCTTTTCTTGCTCAACAAATTCTGTATTCATCTTTCTACAACCCATTTTCTCCTGCACTTCCCGTAGTTCCCTTCTGATTTCTTTGATTCTACCATCAATACCTTTGTATTTTTGTGTGTTGAGGCCCTTAATAATTTGCTTAAATCTCTTGAGTTTGTTCCACACTCCTTGTAGGTTTCCAGTATCTCCATTTGTACTCCATGTTTGTTCGACTTCTGGAAGGAATTGGAGGTGATCAGCTAGGTAGTTAAAAAACCTGAACAAACTAGCTTTCTTCCTCTGCATTTGTGATCATCAGCTTAATGGGTGAGTGATCAGAGAAAGATGGTTCTAGGATATGTATATACATTAGGCATTGTCAGCATCTAGTTTGTGTTAACTATTCCCCTGTCTATCTTGCTATGAGTATGACTATTTATCTATGTATAGTCTCTATCCACATTAGGTAATTCATTCATGCCAGTGACATTCATGAATTCCCCGAAATCCTTTGTTTCCATGTCTTGTATTACAATACCATGCTGTCTGTCTTGACTATTAAGTACTGAATTAAAATCTCTCATTGCTATCCATGGTCCATGTTGTATACTGTTTATTTGCCTCAGTTTTTTCCATATACTCAACCTATCTTTAATAGTATGCAAGCCATATGCTGCAATAAAATCAGATGATACCAATCTTGAATGAGTTCTGACTTGTCCGTGTATGTACTGGCAATCCATGTCAATTAGTTCAAAATCAAAATTTCTTGGGTCCCAAAGAATCTATATTCTGCTCTTATTGTTGTTGCTGAAGTTTGATATCCATTGCCATCTTGAGGCAATACTGCTGATAGTACTACTAGCTTTCTGCTCCTTTATTTTGTGTTCTACTAGTGCAATCACGGCCTTTTTATTCTGCTTTATTAACTCCTTTTGTCTCATTTTGCTTGTATGCTTTATTTAATCCTCTAACATTCCATCTAATTACACTCATTCTGGTATGAAATGTGTATCATGATATAGCTCATGTCCCCTATAAGGCCCCATCTGCACATTGCTTGGTCCTAGGTCATTGGTTATGTGCTCTTGTCACCTTTCTAAGGATTGGAACCTATTACTGTCACCAAGAGCCTTGCCTTCAGCTTGCTTTGATTTTGCCATCCTTGTTGCTGATTTCTCACTTACTGTTGTCCACCCTTCTTCTGCAGGTTGTTTAGTAGCTGCATTAAGCTGCATTGTACTGTCCTCTAGGGGTTTTGTTGTTTTCACCCTCTTTGTTTGCTCCTTCTCCTGATCATTCTCCTTAGGTCCAGCCCTCTCAATCTTTTGCTAGATTTGCTTGACTTTATTCCCTCTCCCTTTGTATGCCTGCCTTTATGGCTGTTGCATTATGTTCTCATTGCAATTATGCCCTATCTATAAACATTTGGTGCAGTATGTAGATTCCTAGTCATAGGTTATCTCTTGCTCAATTGTTTTTCCTATTGGGTCCTGCAGCATCACCCTTCTAGGTTAGTAATGTCCATCTCAATCAGCATTCTAGCATAAGATATTCTTACTATACTCGTTGTACAGTCATTGGCATATACTGGATTACCCAAGGGACTTCCAATTTTGCCTAATGCCTTCATACTCCAACAATGCAGGGGAAGATTTGGAAACTTCACCCACAGTGGAATGGTTCTAAGTAGTTCTTCATGCAAATTGAGGTCTGGTGTCCATGCTTTCATTACAATAGTTTCTTTCCTCCAAATTTGCAAATCGAATTACAAAATAGTCTTCATTGTGATAGAAGATCTGAGGTTTCATGGAGTACTTACCCACTGAAATAAGGAATCGTTCCATTGCTCCTATGGATGGTGAATTCCCAATGACATACAGAACAATTGATGTGCTCCATTTTTCATTTTCCTGCTCAACATCCTTTAGGTCTAATTGCACAATTTTCTGCTCATCTTGTATCATTGGTGCAATATATTGAGGATTCATACCTCTCGATGCCAGCTTATTCCCTGCTATAACATTTACCCATGATTGAATTCCACTTGCCTTCACCATTTGGTTAGTGTTTTTGGGATTTTTAGCCTTGTCAGATTTGTATGGCACTGTTGCATTGGTGTTTTTGAGTTCATCTCTGCCATTCCGCTCCCAGATCTACTGCCTGTTCCACTACTACTATTAGGTGTTGCTATCACTACTTTCTGCTTGCCATTGTCGATTGCTTGACCTGAGACTATACTGCTCTGTTCACTTGTCATGCTCCTCGGAGTGGTGTTTACAGTTGGCTCCTCAATTCTTACCCTTTTGGGTGAGACAAAAAGTTTCATTACTGCTTTCCTTGCATTTGTGGATCTCGGATCAGTGGACGAAATTTTCGCTGAGTTCCGTTTAGGTCGTCCTCTTCCTCCCATGGTTTCCAGTTGCGTACATTAGCAAAGTCACGTTAACGTGCCTCGAGAGAAAACTTCGAGAAGAAAGAGAAAATTTTTTATTCGAAAACCACTTTAACATTCAAATATAGTTATTTTCAATTTCAACCTCAATTTATCTTTTCTTAACATCAACATGTAGCAAGTAGTACTATAAATCATGACTTTTGTTCAACATGACTTAACAACCACTTTAACATCATCAAACTCCGTAGTTCAAGAAAATAATTCAACTCTTCATATAGTAACAGAAATAAACAATTTAAAAGAGAGAGTATTTCCTATACCAAACCTTCAATATTGCAACCAACTATAAAATGTCCTACAAAAATCACCATGACACCCATGTTCATTTTTTAATTTTGACAAGGAAAAAGGAAAAACGACACATGAATATTTAATGAAATTATCAAGAAAGCATCTTTACTCAAGACTGTCAGACAGCAGCATTACATAATGTACATTTCCTTGTCCTAAACTCCTACTAGTAATACTCAATTCCCACGTTCCCCGAGGAAGAACAACAATACGATGACTCGGGCCTCGATTATATTACTCATCGCGATCTTAATCGCCGCCGCACGAGGCGGAGCGTTGACGTTTGACGATGATAATCCGATCAGGCAAGTTGTAGTATCCGACGGTTTGCAGGAGCTGGAGAATGGAATTCTCCAAGTCATCGGCCAAACGCGCCGTGCTCTCTCCTTCGTTCGCTTTGTTCGCAGGTCAGTTGGATTCATCTAATTTCCTCTTATTGAATGAATAAGCTAAAGTTTTCTTTTTGACTTATGCCTTCTTGTTTCTTTTTTTTTCTTTTTTTCTTTTTTATGAATTTGTTTAATTTTGGGATATCTGTTAAATTTAAAAGGTATGGGAAGAGATACGAGTCAGTTGAGGAGATCAAGCAAAGGTTCGAGATATACTTGGACAATCTGAAGATGATTAGATCTCACAACAAGCAACTACTTTCCTACAAACTTGGTGTCAATGGTAATTGCCTTTGTGTATATTATATGGTTTCCTGTTTTCTTGAAAGCATAGCTACAGGCTGGACAATATATGCCTTTATGGACAATTTGCCCTTTTTTGTTTTGGTTTTTCTTCTTGCTTATAGTTCATGAAATGATCTGAATAGAGTGGACTTCATAAAGTTGACTTGTATAGTTGTTTTCAACTTGATTTGAGGTTCAAAGTGTAGTAGATTAATGTTTTTGTTACTTCTAATTAGAACTCCTAACAGATTTCTTGTACGTGAGTGAAGAAAGGAAAATTAAAAATATGAAAATGAAGGTCATGGAAAAGGAGAATAACAAACAAAATAAAGAAATAAGAAGGCACTGCATATTTTGCTTGCTTTATTTTGCTCTTGACAATAACTATGCTTCTTGGCAGAGTTTACCGACCTAACATGGGACGAGTTTAAGAGAGAAAGGCTAGGAGCTCCCCAAAACTGTTCCGCTACCACAAAGAGCGATCTTCAGCTCACTAATGTCAACCTACCAGAGACGGTATTTGCAATCAGAACACCATTATATCTTTTTTCTGTAGTTGTTTATGATACTTTCTCAGAAATCATTACCATTGACATCCATTCATTCCAACAGGAAATCATGTAATTGCAAATCTAGCTTTCAGTGCTTCTATCCTGTATGTTCTCCTAAAAGGAAAATTCGTAAATGCTTAATCTTGTCTATTTTGCAGCCTAATATCGCTGTGATTCTTCTTTAATTGGATTTTGATCACTTTCTAATGTTTTAAATTTTATTACTTTCATGATGATGGAATTTCTTGAGATGACAACATAGATAGCTATTGCATCTAGGAGCAAAGCTGGATGTAGGATTTTAAGTCAAGAGGTGCAGAGTACTGCTGCATCCACTGTATCTGACAATGAAATAAAAAATTGGTATAAATGTGTGTTTAGAAAAACGTTTGTGTGTGTTGTCTATGTATATATTTCCTTTTATTTCTTTTCCAAGCTAAAAGTAGTAGTAGGTTCAGGAACAGCTGCCTTTAATTCAGCCGCTGCCTAGAAGAGCATGTGCAGTAAAGGTATTGTTGGTTACCAAAAGTAGCTCTTTTCCTAATTTTGATCTCAGAATGTGTCATTTCAGAAAGACTGGAGGGAAGCAGGGATAGTAAGCCCAGTGAAGAAGCAGGGCAAGTGCGGGTCTTGCTGGACATTCAGGTAAGGAGTAGTTAGGATCATGTCACTAGGTTCCTAAATTTTCAGTTTGGAATGGCATTCTACCTATCAATCGTTAATCAACTATGATTTAAGCCTAAACTTCTGATTCTTAACAACATGTAAACTCTATATCCTTTCCATTGTATTCGGGTTTCTGAAGTTGAGAAATGACGGAGTCGGCACATGATGTTTTGGCAGCACTACTGGTGCTCTGGAGGCAGCATATGCCCAGGCATTTGGGAAGAACATCTCTTTGTCTGAACAGCAGCTCTTGGACTGTGCTGGAGGTTTTAATAACTTTGGATGCCATGGAGGGCTTCCATCACAGGCTTTTGAGTACATTAAATACAGTGGTGGTCTTGACACTGAAGAAGACTATCCTTATGCTGGAAAGGCTGGTGTATGCAAATTCTCGTCAGAAAATGTTGCTGTTAAAGTTGTTGGTTCTGTTAATATCACCAAGGTAGGATACCTCTTTACTCTGGAACAGCAATGTCTTGGATCAACTTTTAACTGCTTACATCAGTGCTTATCATTTCTTATATTTAACATACTAAAGGAAGATTATTGTAGCTTCCGACGGGAACCTTTCATAATTCTAGTGTTTCCAATTTTGATGATTTTCAGTTGAGTGGATCTTTTATTATGCATTATTTGACCTGAAAAGGTCAATGGGCATTGGTTGATTCCTTACAATCAAACATTTATTATTACAGGATGCTGAAGATGAACTAAAATACGCGGTTGCATTTATTAGACCGGTTAGTGTAGCTTATCAGGTGGTAAAAGGTTTCAAACAGTACAAGGGTGGAATTTACAGCAGCACCGTATGTGGCAACACTCCCCAAGTGAGTTTATAGTTCCGATGAATTTGAGATACTGCCCTTTTAATCTGCTATTCTTTGTCAATGAAGAAGCACATTTTCCATGTAACTCACCGTAGGGGAAAGAATTGTACCGAGTAGTTAGTTATAACTCAGTGCTTGATTACTCGTCGAGAAGGGTGCCTGCAATTATCTGAAAGTTATGCATAATGTGTGTGTGTGTGTGTGTGTGTTTATTGATTCTAACTATTCGAGTGTCATAATACTGATAGGAAAGATACCATGCTTTGTCAACCAAAAAAAGATGCTGGATGATAGGAAAGATTGAAATAGTCTCTACTTTTAGAAACTCCTAATCAACCTTAAGATACAGATTATGTAGTATTGGAATAAAATGGTATGATGAGCGCAGTGTACACAGAAGATTCATACCCCGACCCAACCCAACTAATCTGGCACTGAGACATGATTGATTTTGCTGTAGTGTAGAGGCACATGTTCTTTTTCTTCTTTTGTTAAATATCAATGACATCAACAAAGTATTTGGTCCGACCTTCACCAAATATGTGAGACAATGGCATAATACTACATAAACATTTTCTATTGCATTGGCAGGATGTGAACCATGCTGTTCTTGCTGTGGGATATGGTGTTGAAAATGGTACTCCGTATTGGCTGATCAAGAACTCATGGGGAGCTGAATGGGGTGACAATGGATACTTCAAAATGGAGATGGGAAAGAACATGTGTGGTAAGTTTCTCCCATATCATCAAGTCTCCTTTCCCCCTTCCTGCATACTGGATGCACACTGCTTTCTGATTGAGAAAGGTTATTCTATTGGGATAAATTAATGGAGAATAGCTTTCAACTTGGACTATAGGAAAAGAGGCCACAAAATCTGAACTATAATGCTATCTATACGAGTTCAAGTTGAGTTCATCTTAGATCGACACAAATAATAATAAAAGCTTTCTAGTCAATGTAGTCATGATTTTGATGAGGTAAATAACTGATCCTAATGATATGTTTGTAGGTATTGCAACTTGCGCATCATACCCTATTGTTGCTTGAATTCCCATATCAGATCTTGTTCAAGTTGGCTTGCGACAAGTATCCATGCCCAGTGTTAGATTTATGTTAAAAGGCTGATGAAGGATTCCATATACAGAGTTTACGTTGATTCTTGTGCAGGAAAGTTCTCTGTAACTGTAAATAATGAGTTAAGGATATTGGACTGTCAAAGATGTTATTGATGAACTGATTTGCTTGGCTGAATAATTTTTATTCCTTTATATTACTAATAAAATATTTCTCATCCTTGCCTCTAGGATGTTTAAATCGAACTGGAAAATCATTACTGGGAGTAAGGCCATACTATGTGTAATGATTCCCCATCAAACCGAAAAGTCAAACCAATTGACATATAAATATATAATTTTTATATATACTATCAAAACTTTGTGTAGGGTTTTCTCTAAGAAATGTCTAGAAATGTTTGTGATCTTCTCATGGGATGTTAGTGTTTAATAGAGTTATAAAGTTCATTCATTTATATTTACTTTAAATTTAAATAATGCTTGAATATAACATGTATCATTATTTTTTTATCAGTTGTTATTGAAATGCCTCAATCTCTTTGTTATTTTATATTCATATATAGATCTGCTAAACTTTATATCCTTTTTCGAATTTGAAATAAATTTATTAGCAATTTTAAAATTAAACAGAACATATCATTATTTAGGTCTCATATTGATTTTTGTATTTAATTATTAAAACTAGATTAAATGTTTGTCAATCTTTTTAATTCTTATTAAATACTCCTTCCGGTCCACAATAAGTGACCAATTTGTCTTTTTGTTTTGGTCCAAAATAAGTGTCCATTTGTATAACCAAGAAAATATTCAATTTGTTTTTCCAAAATTATCCTTATGTACGTATTCCTAAAAAGTCTTTTACTCACATTAACTGTGTTGCAACATTTAATTAAGAGTAATTTAGTCACACTAACTATTTTTATCTAGAATTTAGTGGGCGTTTGGACATAAGAATTGTAAAATTCCAAAAAAAAGTGAAAAAAATTTCAAGTGAAAATGGTATTTGAAAATTAGAGTTGTGTCTGGACATGAATATAATTTTGGGTTGTTTTTAAATTTTTTTGAGTGATCTGTGTGAATTTTGAAAAACAGCTTTTTTGAGTTTTTCAAATTTTCGAAAAATTCCAAAATGCATCTTCAAGTGAAAATTGAAATTTTATGAACAAACGCTGATTTCGAAAAAAAAGTAAAAGAACTTCCATAAAAAGGGAATTTTCTTTTATGTCCAAATGGGCTCTTAGTATTTCCTAAATGGGTGTGCCCAAGGTAAATACTCACTTATTGTGGATTGGAGGGAGTATGTATTGACTTATTAAAATTTGATCTATAATTCTATCAAAATAAGATTTGAATTATATTAATATAACAAAAAACCCGAATAAATCGAGGAATAAAGTGACCGCAGGACATGTTTCATGTCAATGGCACTACACCTACAAACTTGCCAGCGATAATCATCATTGAGAATTACTCCGTGGCGCTCTTTGTATTGGACTTCAAGTTTGTCTAATTGGTGACATGGAGCCCACCAAGCTTTTAAGTATATCAGGGATAGAAAATGTTATGTGAACCCTATGAAAGGATTTTCTTGCTAAATAAAGAGGAAGTTTACATAAATATATGTAGAATCATAAAATATTTCATAATCTACGACTATAAAGTAATTAATATAATATTCTACAACTTAAACACAGTAAAAGGATAAAGGAAATATCTCTTAAGATAGCTTATTTAATAAAATCAATTGTTCCCTAAAAATACTCCATCACAATTCCTATAAATAAGGAAACTGACGAAAAATTCTTCATTGCCTTTTTATTTGTATTCTTCTTCTCCGCTACATTCTCAACAAACAATCCATTCTTGGACAAATTCTCCTTCTCTAGTAGTAGGAGAAATAATCTTTAAATAAAAATTACCTAAAGAAGGAACAAAATACATCATAATAAATCTATAGCACGTAAACTATAATACTAAAATAATTCAATGCGAACTAATCAATATATAATGTATTGTATACTATATTTATTAGTAGTATACATCCGATAAACTAAAGTGGTATTATACAATAAAAGGTATGTTGTATTGTATACTTATACCAATATCATATAAGTTTATATTATATCATATATTGTATACGATATTTATTAGTAGTATACATCAGATTTTTTCCCCTCAATGTATACATAAGATGAACTAAAGTGATACTATACAATGAATGTATGCTGTATTGTATAGTTATATACATTTTCATATAAGTTTAATACTATAAAATATATTGTATACTATATTTATTATTAGTATACATGAGATCTATATTTTAATAATGGGGAAGAGGCTTAGGGCATTGGGATATACTCGAATCCTTTAATGAAGAAATCGGGGAAAATTTAATACGGATAGTTGCATTTTAGGTGAGAGAGAATCTCAAGAGAGAGATATAAGGATATGTTTTAGGTATGAAAATCTCAAAGAAAATATTCAGTAATACATACATACATATATATATATATATATATATATATATATATATATATATGTATATATATATATATACACACACACACAATAATACATTGTATATATATATATATATATATATATATATATATATATATGTATATATATATATATACACACACACACAATAATACATTGTATAAAAAAAAATAGGGGAAGTAAATATATTTTGCTGATGGAGTGATAAAGAAGAAGCATTGGAAAAACAAATATTACATATATATATATATATATATATATATATATATATTGTCAAAACAACTTGGGAAAGCAAACACTTTCCTCTGCAAAATTCCCAACCTTTTAGTGATTTTTAGATGATTTACGGGGTTCTAAGGGAGAATAAATGAAAAGCTTTCTATAATTTAAAACTGAAAATGCATGTTTCTGTATCGAATCCAAACAGAAATCATCATCATCGTCAAACACTATAGATTTACCCTTGCAAATCTTCTTCAGAAATTCATCTCTACCGTATTTTTTTTTCCAGAAATCCCTTTATATTCCTTTTTTCCATATGCAACTTCTTGATAATTAGAATGAGGGTGATGACTGGCTGTGATTTTGGTGCACCAGAACTATGAGATATTGACAAAACATTAATTATTTCAACAGATGATTATGAAATTTCTTCAATTCGAACATTGTCTCTACCACCACTATCCATGATTTTCTGAGCAATGTGTTTTCTATGCATTTTGACCTACACAAAAATGGAGGTTAGACGTTTGTGATATGCTGGAATATCTTTTACCAGAGAAATTGCAAGGGGGGGGGGGGGGGGGAGGGGATTGTATAGTGATAGATATGTTATTTGAGAGATAATGAGAAAGAGATAGTATCTTTTAAATAAGAGAGAATCTCAAGGGAGAGATTTTAGGATATGAAAAATTGTACATAATTTAATTAAAAAGGTAAGATTTTATAATAAACTGTACCAAAAGTAATTTTGTTAAAGCCATTGTAAAAATATAAATAAATCTTTAAAGGGTTGTATTCTATGTAAATTCCTCCAAAGTACTTTTAATGAAAACAGAATTGAAAGAGATTCATTATGAAAAGAGATTAAACGTGTTAGTTCAAATTCATCATAGTCTTTACAGAAATTTAAGAAAGCAAATAAAAGGTAAAAATTCCAAACGACATCTCCAAAACCAGCGGGATCACGTGAGGCCCTATGAAATAGATTCAAGCTAAAGGTAAGCTTCACCTAGGGGTGTATAAAGGAAACTGATAAACTGCACCAAATTGATAATTCGAGTCAAATCGATAAAAAAAACGACTATGAGTTGGTTTGATTTGGTTTGGTGTTGGAAAAAAAAATCCGACCATAATTAGTTTGGTTTGGTTTTAACTAAAAAAAGTGAAACTGAAATCAAACAGACCCGACATTAGATGTGTAGAAGTTTTAAAAATATTTAATACATAAAAATATTTATTATAGTGTAGTTTATAAATATTTCTTAAATTATTTTAATTTTTCATAATTTTATCTTTTAACGTATTGTTTCAAACTCGGACTTATAATTTTTGAATGTTTCAACAAGTTTTATAGTCCATAAATGTTAGTAACTCAAATAAATCCCAAACAAAAATAAAATTAATATTAATGCTCACAAAAGATACGCAATTCAATTGTACTAGGAATGACAATAATGTTGGATATCTATTTTTTTTAGTTTTTCTATAGTTTAGATAAAATGCACAACTTATTGTTTTTTAGTATTTAGTCATGTAAATAATAGTACTTATTAGTTGTACTTTTTTTAGCAACTTAGTAATTTTAGATTATGATTATTTTTATTATGGCTTATTAACAATATTTGTTTTATGCGATTTTATTGTCTTTATTGTTGAATATTTTAGTACAATGCTATGGGTTATCTCATTTTTTATGTTATTTTTTTTGAAAATACATTATATATTTATGTCTTACTAGGATTAAAGAAATATTTAGAGCACAAATTCTGTGTTTTGTGCTGTGAAAGACTTTATGAAGAAAAATACCGAAAACCCGAGAAAATCCGAAAAATCCGAGAAAAACCGAGAATCAAAAACCCCACTTTTATTGGTTTGATTTGGTCTTTAGATTTAATAACCCAACACAATTGATTTGGTTTGGTAATTAAATAACCCGAACCAGCCCGACCTATATACACCCCTAGCTTAACCTATGTTTCAAAATAGATGAAAATACTATTGCGAAAAACCTTTTTACCTTATGCAAATATTAAAATTCCTTTGAAACTGCTTTTTAATTGAAACGTTAATCCAGAGGTTGTTTTCAGTTTTTCACAGAAACTGCGAAATTTTTCTAAAGTGGTGTGGTTAGAGTTTTTGTGTGGAAAACTTAAGTTTTAGAAAGCTTTTTTAACACTTTTTGAAGACAATCACCACCTTAAGGCGTTGTTTGGTGGGTGAACAACTTATCTCGAGTTCAATAATAAAATGACTAATTAGTGGGCATATTTTTCTTGGTAGATATTTACTTCATTTGACTACAAGCGGAATATATGGTGTACAATATAAATTATTGTTTTAAGCAAGATAATGTGGATAAATTTTATTTTTAATTTTAAACTTGGGTTATTCTTTAAAGGACTTTGGCAGAAGAGTTTTGGAGAAAGGCAAATGTGTTAATTTGGTGTTTAATCCAGCGGTTATTAGTCTTGGAGTTATTATCCCACATATAGAGAGTAATAATCCTAAGATTACTAACTTTGAAA